GCTAAACCTTTTTTCTTGAGTATTCTCGTCTTTTAAAAAATTTCGTACTCGAGTATTTTCTGAAAAGTACTCGAGTACTTTTTAGAAAATACTCGTACTCGTACTCATACTCGACGCCCAGTACTCGCCCATCTCTGGCTTGCTATTATCGACACTTTCCTTTTTCTCACAATTCAGAAAAACATAAATACAACATCGACAAAATCGTCGCGAAGGCACATTTTTTTACTTTCATTCTTAATTCTACTTTTAACACAAACAGATTTTAATACCGAGAAGATTGAAAAATTGCACAGGTCAGCTGTTTCACTTTCTCTTCTAATATACAATTCAATTTCAACTAAAACTTACTCAAGTAATTTTACTCTTCCACCTGGATATACTAGGCTGGTGTGAGAAGAAACTGGTCTTAAATTCCAAGTACAGTATCATAACGCTGGTAGCATCTCTGTGTGCTAATAGTTTCAGCGGGATTATAGCCAGTGATCTTATGAACCATATCAAAATAGAGCCCTTAATTTTGAAAAGATCACTCATAAAATGTGTTTTTAGCTTTTCACGAGAGAATCAAGCCCACATCAGGCAAACATGCTCCATCTAGATCTCCAGATAGAGGGATATACAATTTCGTTTTTATATGGTTCATAACAGGATCTAATCGACGATAACATTGCTTCATCAAGTCAACCGGTAGATAGTCTTTCATTATAAGATTCAATAATCAGGAAATGCAGACGCGAAATAGCTTCAGACAACATCCGGTGGTTTCAACAGTCGCGGTATGTTGCGAATAATTGAATTTTTATCGAACAATAGCAAGTGATTTACATCACTCTTCAGCAAGACATATATTTCAGCACAAACAAGAATCATGTGGCATTATGGTCATACATCTCATCACATTTCATTATTCTATTGTGCATCAATGGAGATTTCTTTTCTTTTCATTTATTAAAATAGATATTTTAATTGCTTTCGTACTTCACTTCTTATGAATAGTTTTTGTTTGTATTATCTACTAATATGTCTTTTGACTAATAGTACGGCACTGTTATTATTTATCGCGTATAACATTCCTCTTGGTCGCTTCTGTTATTTAGGTTAAAAAATAAATTATTATTAAAATCTGACACCTTAACTGTGTATCGGATTGGTAAATCTGCGAACTATATGTCAAACCCACTTGTCATTTATACTTCTAAAGAACCACACTGTTTCTGACTTTTATCCACACTGAGGTATACGTCAATTAAAAGAGTATACTCTTAGACTTCCAGAGTGATTTGCATAGCCATTATACCGCAAGATAACGATGTCGAGGGACAAATCCGAGTCATACATTCGATAGAAGTATGTCGATCCTGTATAAAAGCATTAGTTTCTTGACACTTACGTAGCTGACGAAAATAACGTGTCTGCAAGGAAGTTTTAGAATACGCAACCGCAATTGAAGTTTAATTTATTCAACAGGATTATAAAAAGAACAGAAAAGAGTTATGTTATGTAGCTATTGAGAGAGCTTGATGAGCTGAATCGAATGGCATAACTTTTGAGTAGATCTGCATGAAAAAAGTTTAGAAAGAATTTCGGACTCTTTGTGGATCGGTTGAGTGTCTCTGATGTTGTGACTTTAATGCTCATGTGTTTGGACGTTTTTCTTTTTTTTTATCGTGTTGTTTATTAAACATCAGAATTAACAAGGAAAAGAAGAAACAGTAAATAGGAAGAATGTGTGAAAACAAAAAATAGAATAATACATGGCATAAAAATATCTGATACATGTGTGTCTTATATTCGCTTTGAACAAAAACATGGAAGTAAAAGCTTACAAAATTTCGCAGTAAAATACAAAATAACTGCCAGTGCGGAGAGAAAAGTGCCCCCCAAAAACCTGACATCTAGACGAGCGCGTGATTGAAAATATACTACGAGAAAAGAAGCGAAAAAGTATCTGACGAGAAATAATCTTCTCTCGGAACTAGTAACTGTCGCACGTTATACTACCAAAAATGCGGGATGAGAGCCAAAAGTATGTGCGAGGAATTCATTTTGATGCTCGATTCTCTGTGCCAAAAAAAACACTGGAAAAAACGGTACAACTAAGCAAAGATACACGAAAAACTAAAAATCAAATTCTTATACAGGTTTAAGCAGTTTTGTGAGGGACACAAAATTGTTATCAAAGAAAAAGAGAGAGGGAGGATGGGGAGTCAGATTTGAAGATCACGTTAGGTAACCATACTAGTTAACCATTGTCGAGTGCTTCACAGATGCGAGAAAAAACCGATCCGTAAGATTTGATTCGTTTCGCGCTCAAAAGATACATGAGTCGCATCAACAATCAAGTCATTGAGCCGGTCATATATTCTTTGGACAAAGGTACACTCTCCATAGATGGTACACAGTTTCAGGTTGATCACAAAAACACATTGTTTTTCTGGACGTCACTTTGGAAGTCTAAGAGTATACTCTTTTAATTGATGTATACCTCAGTATGGATAAAAGCCGGAAACAGTGTGGGTCTTTGGAAGTATAAGTGACAAGTGGGTTTGACATGTAGTTCGCAGATTTACCAATCCGATACACAGTTAAGGTGTCAGATTTTAATAATAATTTATTTTTTAACCTAAATAACAGAATCGACCAAGAGGAATGTTATACGCGATAAATAATAACAGTGCCGTACTATTAGTCAAAAGACATATTAGTAGATAATATCGGGTGGCGCATAATAAACGGGACACTTTTGTTCTTTATTTTTAAGGCACTTACAAATGACCTAAAACTCTGGCTCTGTTCTCATTCGATAGAGAATTGAATTCTCTACAGAACCTGCTTTTTGAATCTCTGATAGCATTTTTCTTGTTTGAGCACCACTCAAAATATTGAATAGTGCAAAATGCTCAAACTGCGACGTGCTTTTGTTATATGCTTTTTTGAGATTTTTAGCCCATTATCTGAGATTCAGTAGTTGCTTTTCTAGGTAGAAAAATAGAGAATTTTGTGCTCTATCGGTCTCACTCATTTATAACTTCATATAATGTTTTCGCTACGTCATCTGGACTCCTAAATAGTTCTCAACCGGCTTTTCACGCTTTTTCAAATTAAATTAATTTTATAAATAATGGTTTCAAAAACTTGTCAGGACCTAGGATGGATACCGCTAACCGTTAATGTTTGCACCATTTATTTTCAGATGTTTGTATTTGAAAAAAGTGTCAATGTTCTGCTAAAATAACTCAAATTACATCAGTATGAAAATGCCAATTATGATGCGTTACTGTTGCATAGTGTAATTAACCTATTGAATTATATTGCTTGTGGTGTTCATCATGAAGAAAAATTAAAATCGGATCTCTGGGCACTATTGAAGTAAATCGACAAAAATTTATTTTTTCTTTTCTTTTTCTTTCATTTCTTACTCATTGAACTTTGTGGATTTTTTTGCTTAGTTAATGATATATTTAATGCAAACACGTATAAAAACGGAAGTGATGATTTACTCGAACTAGCTTGGACAGTATTGTGGAATATAACAGATGAAACAGCTGAGAATTGTCGAAAATTTTTTGAAGATAATAATGGTCTGCAAGCATTTGTAGATTGTTTAACAGTGCTTGATGAAAGATTTGAGGTCGTAAGAAATGTTCTTGACCTTTTGATAGGTAAAGTGATATTAACTAAAATTATACAAAACAAATAATTCTTTTTTCTTGTAGGGAAATCTTGCTAAAGCAAAAGAATTAAGACCTTATTTGATCAATGATACTCATGTTGAACAGTTTTGGTAGAAAGTTTTTAATCGATATCAAATATCTGTAAATATATCATATATACTTCATTTCAGGATGTTAGTGAAACAAAGCAATACGAATCTAGAAATAAGATATAAGTCTGGCGGAATCTTAGGGCATATTTTGAATGTTGGTCCTGAATTATCAATTATTAGCACAGATCGAAATGAATTAAATAATTTGAAATGATTAAAGATTGGGATATTCATCTGGACCAAACAATAAACTATAGGTAATTGAGCTCTATTCCTCTGATAAATTTGAAACAAAATTCAGACTCATACTCGAAGTCCGTATGACTAGAATAAGATGTGGGCGAACGTTTATTAAAATGACTGGAAGTAAAAATTTGTTTGACATCAATAGATTAAGTTAAAAATATTGCAGAAAAGACTGAAATTAACAAATTTTGATAATTATAACTTTAATAACATAATTTCGTTGATCAGTTCAACTGGCATCATTTGTTCTGTAAACCTGCTTTTGACATTCTTATTAATTTGGAAGAAAAAAATTTACTCTATCTACTTTGTTTGCTTTGAATCTTAGAGTAAAGTATATAAAAATCTACTCTGACATAGAGAACAACGTAGATCGTTCCACTCTGGAAAGTCTCAGCAAAAACGCTCATCGCTACCTTGATCGAGTTATTGTCGTCCGATAACGTTAGATAGCAGCGTAGCTCCAATCTTTATCGCTATCTATGTACATGATTTATGTACATGATGTATCTTTTTCTTCTTTATCTGCTTGATCTATGTGTCATCGATAAAGCAACAGCTCCACGCTTCTCAGGACTGTCTACCAAGGTTGATTCACTCTTTTATATTATTATTTTATTTTTATTTTTACAAGTATTTTTTCTTTCCTTCTCTTCTCTTGTTCTTCCTTACCAAATGTTACTATATGTTGTCGTATGTGAGATAAGGAAAAAACACTACATATCTAAAGAATGTACAGTGCGAGAAAGTAAATGTAAAATAATAAAATTAATGATTTTCTATTGTTTTTCTTGTTTTATCTACCTCTCCCATTTCAATTATTTGACGTTCGCATTGTGTAGCAAGATCTTCTGCTGCTCGTCGTAATGCCGATCTTATAATACATTTTAAAATGAAATAAAATAAAACGAATACAACCAAGGCTAGTAATGACAGTAAGTTAATATTCGCATTTCCACGAACAATATCTGTTAATGAATTTTCAAATGAACGAAACATTTATTTCACTTGAATCCTCTTTATTTGTTCACGTGATGACGATTCTTATCGATCCACTTCATTTAGCTTTTCAATTATACCGCCTAATTTTTCTTGAGTTTCTTCCAAATTGAGACCATTGTAAAACTTTCTCATTTGCGTATATGAATGTAGGCTAGATATGTTCGAATAAAATGTAATGCGTTTTAGTTCTTTAACCGTTGCTTGAATTCAAGCTAGTATCTTCAGACGTTCCTTATGATCTCGTATATAGTTTGACAAAGTAATTGTGTCTTTGATCATCAATGTTGCTGATGTCGTTGACTCAGTTGCTGAATGTGGACTAAAACAGGCCGGCATCTTGTATTGAACATCCAGTGGAAGCATATCACAGCTGAACTTGTAAACGGGCAACGTGAGTAGCGCGACTGACAGTTTCAGTTCATTTTCATTATCAGCTGTATGCATAACAACAACAAGAAGCACAAGTTTTGCTAATGTAAGATGATGGTTCATATTGTAAAGTAGCGTTGTTGTAAAAAAGTTAAACATTTTATTTAAAATTAAATTTTCTTGGAAAGAAAAAATGTTTACATTGTACTATCTCTCAAATTTCGATCGATCGATCATCAGTTATAAAAGAAATCATTGGATCCATAACAGTTTGTTTACGAATTAATGATTCCCTTCTTTTGTTATCAGCTAAGTTGTGTTACAGTTGAATAGAGTATAATAAATATATTTTTCATTTGTATGTACGTG